GAAGGAATTATACCCATACAAATGTGAGTAATCAAATATTTTAAACGCTATTTTTAAAAGCTGATATAAACTAAAATTGGCAAACACGAGAAAGAATCAGTTGTGGAAGAATTATAGTCCCTGAAATAATTTTTTAACACCCCAAGTGACTATAGAGTCTAAATTAGATGCAAAGAATGGATTAGTGGATTTGAAAACAGTGCTGAGAAACCTCCCAAAACACAGCGTACAAAGACAAAGATGATGATTTTTTTAAGGACGGTTACAAGACGTGAAGGATGGATCAAGGAAGGAACTCCAGTGGGGGCCTTACAGACTAGCAGAGATACAATAGCTGAAAAAATAATAAAATGTTTTTTCAAAATTGGAGCAATGTCTAAATCCTTCGATCAAAAGTACATTCTGTGTACTGAGCAAGATAATAAAAAATAAATCCACATCTAGACCAGAGTAATGGATCAGAGAAGAATAAAGGATTAAGATAATACCGTAAAAGTCTCCAAGTAGAAAGGACAACTAACCTACAAGGGAACAGGAATTATCCAGACAGCAGATTCCCATATACCACGGCAGACGCCAAAAGGCAATGTAACATCTGTCACGTTAGAATCTTACACTCGGCCAAATAGTATTTGAAGGTGAGGGCAAAATAAACTTATTGGAGATACAGAGCAGAAACAATTTTACCACCTGTAGCTCTTTGCTAAAGGAGGTTTTAAAAGATTGCTTCAGCAAGAAGTGTAATTTAAAATATATTAATTTTACTGCTCTTCATTTATTTTATATCCTATGTTTCTGTTTCCCCAGAGAGGAAACATAAGATACAAAGTAAATACACAAGAACTGATCGTTTTTGTCAGCACATTTTAATTCTTGACTGTTCCTTTTAAAGTTATCTTTCAAAAAATGGTTACTTGGGTTAATTTTCCCCTCTCTCCTTGAGTGTGGTTATGTTATTCGTTTACAACACAGGTTCATTTGTTTTTGTGGGTATTCTTTTTTTTAAATTGATTTGTTTGCTTGTTTTAAGACAGTATGTGAAAACATAGTTCCAATATTCAGAACTCTTCAAAAAGGTTTACCCAAAGAAGTGTTGCTCCTCTCATCTCTTCAACTCTGTTCTTCCTGCCTCATCTTTTTCATGACAATTTCCACCCCCTATAGGCGACCAAGCTCATTGATTTCGGATCTATCCTCCCTATGTTTCTTTCTCCACAAATGAACAGACATACATGTATTTTCTTATTTCTTCCTCTTTCTGAAAAAGTAGTATCAGTAGAGGAGCCACCTTGATCCATTAAGTACCTTACAATAAATAGCTTTGTCTTTCAGAAGGAAAAGTTTGAAATCTCAATCCTTTCCTTCTCAGAAGTCCATTGTGGGTAAGTTGATTATTTAACAAATTTACCTATGCTGACCTCAAAAATATTCAAAGGCATTTACCAATAAGAATGGGGGGAGAGGGTAATATAGAATGGAGATGTGATCTCACTCTGGATAAAATGTTATATGATGCTACCTTCAAAATGTTGGCTGGTGCACCTTGAATTAGTCGATGGATATTATGATGAACCTTCCTTGAAGAAATGTGATTCAAAGTGACCCGATGTTTTTACTGCTTGAACCAGCTTCCACAACATATCTACGACAAAGTATTCCTTTCTATGGGTGGACTTATTGTTCTATATGGTCAAGGAAAAATCTTTTTGAATGGGGATTCTGTGACCATTCACACAAGCTCTGCCTCTCAGTGTTGTACAAGCCACAAATTTCAGAAACTCACCTTCTTTGTCTTCGGCTAAGTAAAAAATTTTGAAATACTTAGAGGCCAGGGAGGACATTTTTAGCACTTCACTGGAGCCTTCTGTCAACATGGGCTATGATCCATTAGTCAATATTCTATGGCTGTGGTTCTTCAACAAACCAGACGAGATCTTGTTATATTATTTGTCTTTTTATTCCTGACCTTACTTCCCTGAGAAGTTAAACATTCTCTGTAGAGTCCAAACTAAGAACAACTCTTACCATATTCTTTTTGAGGATTCAGTTATCAAACAATAGTCCAATTAAACAAATGTAAATTTCTCTTTTGGGGAGTGGAGAGGGAAGCTAAGTGGATTCATTGGTCAACAAGAATGAGAGAGAACATCCTGTTATATTTTAACCAGTGTGTTAAAAAGACTCTTATGCAATCAATTTTGGGGCCTTTCTCTTCGGAGTAAATTCTTGCAAAGAAAATTGCTGTTGAGATGAAACTTTGTAGCTTTGGAGTCCTTGTAGCCATCATCCTCTCCTGGGAGCAGCATGTCTTCTCGTTTCAGAGGTAACCCATGGAATCCTAGACTGTGGTGGGCCAGCTCCTACACTTGTTAGCCTCACGGCAAATCAACTCAGTGCCCTGGGCTGGGGAAACAAATGCTGAAGTTTGAAGGTCAGCGCTTTCAGAAACTTTCCAAGTTGCCCTGACAAATCAATGAATTTTCGGATAGTAGACTCTTACTACCGAGGGGGTCTTTTTTCTTTCCTGGATGTATTATTATTACTGAGAGGACCCCAGATGATATGTATATATTCAGTGGCTATGGAGATTAAAGAAATGGAATCTTTGATGAAAGTAATTATTTATACCCTAACCTGTCACATGATTTATGTTTTTTCCTGTCTTCACCTATAAAATATGTTACCTACGGATCATTTATTTTCCTTTTGTACATGGAACACAGGGAGGGGGAGAAGGTAAGATAGGTTTGGGTCATGTGTGGCTATTCAGCATGGACTATGAAAGCAAGCATAGCTGTGTTATAAAGAGCACATATTTGAACATATCTAACTCTTTGCTTAGGACAGTAATTCCCTTAGGATTTTCTTCCATAAATTAAGAAGAACACAAATGAAGTCATGCCATAGCATATATAATACATGGAGTGAATAGTTCCAGGGTACACGTTATGTTGTAATTTATTAACTAGCCAGTTTGTAGGAGTTTAGTCTTTGAAATTGTTTCCCCGGGAATCATCTTATTTTTTTCTTTGTTTGTCTATGACCCCTTTCTTCTTCAATTAGCTCTGAGACGGATCCTTTCCCTTGCATGAGTGAATGCAAAGATAAAAAAAAAAAAAAGAAAGACACAGGCAAAGGAACATATCAGAGACAGGGAAAATTCTACTAAAATTTTTTTTGAATTATAAATAACCATAGGACAACAGTTCAGAAAATGGACCTTGAGTTATGAACCTGAAGCTGTGTTTACTCATGATTCCTGAACTAACTGTATTAGGTTGATTCTTTTTTTTCAAGATGACTGTCAAGTGTCAAGCAACGAATTCTATCATCAAGTAATTGTTATAATTTACCTGACATCAGGGCCAAAATTGCTGCAATAATTGGTGACTTAGGTCCCTATATTTTATCAATAAATCAGAAGAGTGTGATTCTAAGATTCTTGCTAATTCAGATATTCCATAACTTCATGTTTGGTTTTAATTAAGGGAAAGAGGAGAGGGAAGGAACAAAGCTGATATCAACATGTTCACCTTGGTTACTGCAATCAAGGCAAGTAATATTGACAGTGAAGGGGAAGGGAGGAAACCTTTGGTTATTTAAGCACCTACGTTTGCCCTATGCTTGTGTATTTCTAAGACCTAGGCACTTAGAAATGTTATTTGTTTAAATCCTTGCAATTCTACACTCTAGGGATCTTTACTGACAATTTACCGAGGAGGAAACAGAGCCTCGGGAAAAGTAAATCATTTGCCTAAGATCAAGCAATATGCGTAGAGTTTTGATTTGAACCTCCTTTAGCCTCATTTCAGCTAAAAAAATCTAGAAATTAGGAAGAAAGGCAGTATGAAGGAAGGTCAGATTTAGTCACAGCAAGTTAGAGAAGACAGTCAGTTCTGAATATAGTCTGGTGGCCTGGACTGGAGGTTCCATGTCACAGTCCTCCTGTACTAGCTGTTCTAAACTGGGTCTCAGTGTCAGCCCCACATGAGCATTGTCAGCACTGGCCGTCTCGAGCTTGATGTGGGTGGGTGGATTCAGTGCAGACTGCAGACCCTCCCCACCATCTTCATCACAGAGTGACCTAAACTCCTGGATAGGAGAGCCCATAGCCAGACCCACCCAAAGCTTTCCCACATCTCCTCAAAATGAGTAAGTATATAGCAGCTTAGTGGGGCTACATACAATGCAAATAAGGGAAATAGACAAAAAGAAAACAATGAAAAAATGAGTGAGAAAATGGCCTCATGTTGGGTTTTCTTACTATGATTTGCTTCAGCTTATATTCTTCAAGCTGATTGATACTTATGCCTGAAGAAAGGAATGAGAATACAATTATATTTTAACCAAATAATATCATACATTGGAAATATTTGTTCCAATATCATACATTGGAAATATTTGTTCCAATATTTGTTCCAATATCATACATTGGAACTATCTGCACACTGTGAAGGTCCTTGTGCATGGGGGCCGGGGGGAGTTCATTATAGGCAGATACGTATCTGAATCCTGGCTCCCATCCCTTCTAGAAATAACATGGCAGACTTTTCTTTCTGTGAGTAAAAATAATTTTTTTTTTTTTTAACCAGGCTTCTGAGCTTTTGCTTTTTTAGGAGTAGCCTATCACTGAGCTAAAAAGGAAATCTAATTTCATTCAGAGCCACAGACTTTGATAAATTATTTCTGGGAGCAAGAATATAAACCCTTCCGAAGAGAATTGACTTTTCCTAAAGCTAGTCTCTGTTATTGTTTTGTTTTTTGTTTTTTTTTTGTTTTTTTTTTTTTTGTTGTGATCATTTTCCTAATAACAGTTTGTATTCAGGCAATCTTTTAGCAGTTGATTTGTGGGTGCACTTTGATAAATGTCATCAGTGAAATGCCCTAGAACAACACCACCACCACAAAAGTTTCAAAGGCATGAATACCATATGTCAGAGAGAAAGGCAGCCCCCAAAACCTATTTCCATATTTACTTGCTTTTAAAAGCTAAACACTACGGAGAGTAAAAATAAAATACTAGCGAGAATCTTGTAAACAGAGACATTAATTGTACTGTGCAATGATTACCTAAGCACTGCCTATCGGCCCAGGCTATTTGGAAAGAAGTGAGGAAAAGCCGGAAGGACAGAAGGAAAGGAAATGGCAACTGGAGGACGATTGAGGATAAAGAGGTTCTGAATTATTATTAGAACACAGAAGTGTTCCTTTTATTGACTTCAGATACTATCTGGCTACCTAGAGCCGAGCTTATGCTCTTTTACTTAGCGCCTGATGATGAATTATTTTCATCTCAAAGAACTGGCCACCAGTGGCCTGAAAACACTGTAACGTGCAAAACAAAATTACAGCCTCGGGCTATGTTCCATTGTTCAAAGGGCCCTCGCTAGCTTTCTCAATTCACAATCATCTTTCACAACTGTGACAAGTGTGAACTTTCTCCTATAAACTATAGTACCAGTATCAGACACTGATGAGTATAATTGTAATCATAATCCTTGGAAGAGAAGGAACAGAGGCAGTGTTGCATGGGTATTGAAAGCTCACAGTCTGGCTAGTATAGCAGTGAGTATAAAATAGATAAAATCTTAGGATCTGGAGAGTTGGTCTGGAATCCCAGATCTGCTACGGACTAGCCAAACAGACTCGGACAAATCACTCCCCTTCTCTGAGCCTCACTTTACTTCTTGTGTGAAGTGACCTGCTATTTCCTTGTGCTTGTACTTTCCATTCTATTTTTGGTGCAAGTTTATTTTTTTTTTCTCACATGGCTAATGTGTAAACACTGTAACTGTAGTATTCAGATCAAAACACATCTTTATGTTTCATCATCCCATGTTGCCCCATGGCTTTCTACGTAGTGCGGCTTTCTATCTTTCCTGCATTTATAGAGAAAGTTAGGAAATTTTATGGCTTTTCTGCCCACGCTTAAGTAATTGACAGTCTTTGGATCACATGAAAAATACAAACAGCCTCAATTCAGAAATTAGAATGTCAGCTCTAACAAAGATATTATTCAAATATCTCAGTCTTCGTTGTTGAGAGAAAAACTCTGGATGAATTAAATTTAACAGAGTTCAACTGAGCCAAGAACAATTTGTGTATCAGGTTCAGAGCTCTGCTCAGCAAGGTGGGCAGGCAGCATTTATGGACAGGAAATGAAAGGGAGACACAGAAGTTGATTGGTTCACTGGGGCTCAGTTTTCCTTCGTTGCCCGCTGTGATTGGCTGAGACTCACCTAGTTGTCACAAACACACACACAAAAGTATTCATACATCAGGTTGTAGTTTGGTTTGTAGGGACTCATTATGGAAGCATCCTTATGCCAAATTTAGTTTAATTTATCATTACCTACAGGAAAACAATTGCGCTAACTCTTTCACACACTCCTTAATCTTTTTCTTGAGTTTTAAATTCTTAGAGTTGTGTGAGACCCTGTGTTGGGGAAATTGTCTGGACCAGCAGAAATAGTACCTACTTTTCTATGTAGGTGGCTGCTTGTGACTCTGTGCTTCACCCTTAGGAATCTTGCTTCTGCCACTGTGTTCTTGCTGCTGAGATCCCACCATCCCTTTAGGTGGCCCTAGTGGGCAGCATCTGAGTTATAACTGCCTGATAAATGAAGTGTTTCTTCTTTTGGTTGTAATTACTATCAAGCCAACTGAAGACCAGCCACAAGCAAGTTTAGCTTTCTCCAGGGCAAGCCAGACACCAGCCTTGTATCTTTAACCTTGAGGAACATTAAATTCTCCCACTGTCTCCTGGAAGTCCTCCCTGCTAGGTTTAGGAAGGGATTAGCAACTTAGCAACCCAAACTTCATCCCTTTGGGGAGGGTACAGACTTATAGAATGAAAAACTTACTCCAAAAAAGTATCTTCACAAATCTCTCTACTCTGACTGCTTTTCATCGCCTCTCCCTGAGTGGGGGGTGGGGGGTGGTGCAGAATCATACAACCAGCTTTCAAAAATTATAAATTCTACATAAAGCCATCCCATTTTTATTTAACACATTGCCTATTCTGTTGGCACTTCTGTCAAGTCCAATATAGAAAGAGGCCACTTCATCACAAGTTGAACTTGGACATGTCAATATATTTGTGGTGAATTTTAACCTTATAATTTTGCTCCTTAACATTTTCTAACTTTTTTGAATATTTTCTAAACTATTTTTCTCCTTAAGAAAGAGGCCATTTGCATAATAAGTTTTTTACTTTTATATTTTCTCCTTTTGTTGACTGACTTCGGTACTTCTCCTTTAATACACCAGATTTGTCTTTAGCACTGTTCACTTGACATTCTTTATTATTGTCAATGTAACAGT